GATGGATGGATGGATGGATGGATGGATGGATGGATGGATGGATGGATGGATGGATGGATGGATGGAAACTCACTCTAAGGGTATAATTACATGTCACCATAATTGTTCATGCCTACAGTAGCAGCCATTCAATGTGACCCTTCTCAGTCAAAAGCCAGCCAAATGGCAGCCCACTTCCCTGCAACTCCCAGCGAAATCCCCTCCAACTTCCAGCCACTGGCCTTCTCCTGGGGCAGCATATGTTTTTACTCTGACTCCACCCTTTCACTGAATTACAGGGTCTGACCAGGCGCTGATGCTTCTCTTTAGATCTTAATTTCCACAAATAATGACAGAAAGAATATTTCAGTACAAAGATTGGTGTTTAAAAAAAAATTATAGGGGAGCAATCAAGGACCAGTCAAGGGTCCATCAAGGAAAGTGGGGAAATTTTGAATGGCTACTACTGAAGGTTTGCCATCCAGTGAAGTGGCACCTTGACCTTAATATACCTTGTTTCTTGCTCTGTGCATGACTTGGATTGAATCCTGACTTTCATCCCCAAAAAGCATACTGAAACTTCTTAAAAAGGCAGACCCATTTATATCAACTTGTCTTCTCACAATATAAATAAGCAACCCAAAAGCTGCCTCCATCTAACACCTCCAAGTTAATAGATTTACTCCACCACTGAGACAAGAGCCAATTACTATGATTCATGCAGCAGTCAGATCCTGGCCTACAGTTCTGGCAACAAGCCTCTGGGATCGATTTCGGTGTCATCCTTGGCGAACATATCATCCTTTAACAACGTAGATCTTTATTTGAGTACTAATACCCAGAAATGTTTGATCTATTAATTGTGTGGAAACACAAAGATTTTTGTGTTTTTTCTTTGTTTTTAATCTAATCAAATAAGGTATTTGTAACTCTGGAAAATTGAAACAAGAAAACAAAAAAACAAAAAAACTATTTAAATTATAACAACAATTAAACATTTGATCACTGCTGCACTTTATGGAATGGAAATGTTCATTTACTGTCTGAAAAGCTGTACGTCAAAAGGGAAAATCTAATTATGTTTTGTGCCTGAATGGCAGATCTTTCATAACTGAAAAAAAATATATATTTTAAACACACACACATATATATATTTATATATATATATATAAGAGCATATATATATATATATATATATGCTCTTGGATGCATAAAATGTAATATGGAATATGTCTTTTTATTGCACTAAGGTCTCCTTCCTCATGTAGTACCTGATTATACTGCAAGTAGTTTTGTAATTTGCTGTTGCTTTTTAACTATCCATTCATCTTGTACCTTTTGATCAGTGTCGTGGTTGAGTATGTTTTCATTTTGTATAGGATTTTTTCTTAAACTTCATATTTTATTTTCTAGGATTAGAAATATTCATAAATCTTTACTTTTTCCAAAAGTAGTTTGAAAGCTTTGTTCTCTACCGTTGAGTTAGAAAACAATTTTTTTTCTATTTTAATTCAATGTTCTCCAATATAAATACTGGTGATCCTTACAAACTATTTAAAACTTTTAATCTTCACATTTATCCTCTCAAATTAAGCTTTTCACACTATCACTGTGTAAAAAAACCATACATGTTATAATCTACAGATTCTTCAGAATAGATTAATTTTTTTTTTTATTCTTACGACACACACTTGTTACAGTGAGAGTCTGAAGACGGATGGCTCTCGAGCATGGAGTTCTATAATCCCGAAGGAGATAATGTGTGATGAGAGCTCAGCCTTGCTGAGGATGTGTTCAAAGAGAGGGCAGAAGAGTTAAAACACTGTGGGTTTTCCTCAGCAGAGCTTTGGCATTTAGGAGCCGGCTGCTCTGATGGAGTGAGCAGTAGAGCACAAATGCACACAGCTTAGAAAAGGTAGCATCCTTAAAGGTGGCACTAAAAGCTTCCTGGATAAGGGTCAACGTAATAGTTTTTTATTCTTATCTAAGCTTTTCTCGGGTGAAATAAAATTAAATGCAATTAAAAAATAAATGCTTAAGCCTCATCTCTCTGTGTTTATTCTAATACACACAACATTTATTAGAATACTCTAATATCTACAATCCATTATACGTTTCACTTCAGACACTAAAAACATTTTTTTTTTTTGTTATCTGAATTTAGGAAAGGATTAAGATAAGATGGCATAAGATACTTTTTTGTCCATTAATTGTTAAACGAATTACATTTTTGTGGATTTTTTTTCATCCAAATATACAGACAACACAAAGATAGAAGAAAAAAATCAAGGAAGTTAAACAATATGTACTAAAAATGATCAATGAAAAGTCTGCTTTGTTCTTTACCTAATAGGATAAAATCAGTTTTCTAATCTTTAACTCCAAAGAGAATTATGTTCAATTTAATTCAGGCCATTATTGTTTATCATATAGTGCCAATTCAAATATATTTCATATGAAGGCAGTTTACAGACACAATTCTATCAAACAGACAGACTTCAGACAGACTGAGTAAAAGTGTTTTGTTTTTTTACCCAGTTGATTTCGTCAAGCCCTTGGCTTCGCTTATTCTGGATGAGCTTGTAGCGACTGTTGAAAATAACTTGCACTGTGTTGTCTACTCTACAGGATCTCTCAAACCATGCATGCATTCAGCCACAGTGAAGAGGAAAAACTAGAAGAAACCTCGAGTAAAACACTCAGTGTGAGCAACCCTTCTGCTGAGGCAGACTGGGGGTTTAAGAAAACAGAGGCAGACATGCAAAAGAAACATAGAAGAACTAATCCATTAAGACTTTCTCCCATTTGCTATTGAATGTAATGGAAAACAAGCTCCATAACTGCTTCTTTGTGGGAAAGAAACAGTTAAGCAGACAAGTTTTGAGCAGTTTTCATGTCAAAATGATGAAAGAGTACATGCAGTAAAAGCTGAGCCCATAGCTATGTCTATGTCTAGAAGTGAACCAGAACCAAACACTGAAGAAAAGAGATACAGAGAAAGCAAAGAGAAGCATGGGGCACTATTAGTTTGACACATTAGCTATGATTACTTGGACAAAATATGATTAAAATGTGATTGGACTAAAAAAAGAAAAAAAATTGGATTGTACAATCTATATGTAAATGTGTAACGAAGTCTACAAATGTGTAATTTATTCTTATGTCTATGCATTTAGCAGATGTTTTTATCTAAAGTGATTCACAAAGAAGACACAACATAAATATGACAATACATTCTCTAGAGGAACACCCCTGGTCAGAATCAGTGGTGAAACAGGGAAGTACAGAAACAGTAGAGGGGTGCAGAGCTATGGCTAAGAGTTAGGACAGGAGATGATCTTTGAAGAGGTGGGTCTTTAGGAGTTTAATGGAGATAGAAAGGGACACTGCTGTTCTTGTAGCACTTGGCAGGTCATTCCACCATCTTGGAACAACCCATGAAAACAGTCTGGATCGTCTTAAAAGTGGTGTAGGCATTGTTAGACGACAATCCATTGATAACCAGAGTGACCAAGTTGGGACATAAGCCTTTGCTAGAGAGTTCAAGTAGACGGGAGCCGCACCCTTTGTAGGCTAGCATTAGGGACTTGAATTGAATGCGGGCAGCCAGGGGTAACCAGTGAAGCTCAATGAACAGGGGGGTGGCGTGAGACTTTTTGGGCTAATTGAAGACCAGATACTGCGCCGCATTCTGGATCATTTGTAGCAGTCTTATTGTACAGGCTTGGAGACTAGTCAGGAGTGCTTTACCAGAGTCAAGGCGGGAGATAACCATAGACTGCAACAGGAGCTGGGTAGCATGTTGGGTTAGGTATGCCCAGATATTTCTTATGTTTAGTAGTGTGAAGCAAAAAGATAGAGAGACAGAGGTAACATGATCTTTAATGGTCAGCTGGTAACAGTGTCCTGTCTGGCAAGGTGGCAATAAGAATAATTGTCTTAATGCCAAAAAGAGCCCAACAG